TGGCCTCCTTCCACTGTGTTGGCAAACGGCACTGAAGTAGATAAAGATGGAATTATTTCCTTAAACTTGGTAACAGCATTGCCAGATAGACATCTACTGTAGTGGAATTGTTTCCCACATAGAGTATAATCCATTAATGGAAATTCAAAAGTTATTAGAAAATGGTCAGACAGAAGAGGGTTATGGGGAAATGTGAATGAACAGCTCAAATATAAACTTAAGAATATTTTGAGTAACTTTCTCAGGCCATCACTTGATATTAAAATCATCATAAAATCATTATTGCTTTGTCTGTAGGAATTTTCATTCCATGCATAACATTTGGCAACTTATTGTCTGACATTCCAACATCAGCATCCTTGTGAACTTATATCAGAATCATAACTGTGAAGGATTAAATGGAGGAACAAAATAGCTGGGGCAATAGGAGCTAAGTGAGATTTTGCTAATTATATGGGTGCACTTAATAATGAATGGGTCTTGGGTCTGGTCATAAATACTGAGACACTGGCGAGGATTTAGTGGTGTTGGCAGGAAGCCTGATAGAAGGCAGGGTACCATGAAGAAAAAGGCTTCGACCACCACCGTTTTCTTTCTATTATGGGAGATGACAAAGAGGGCAGAAAGTGGCGGGGTAGATTTAGAAGGATTAAGTAAAGCAGTGAAAGACTATGAAGCATATGCAGCACAAAGCAGCATGAAGATGGTGGATTATTTGCATTCAAAAAAAACATGAGGCTAAAATATGAAAAAAGGAAAACATTTTAGAAAATTTACATTAATTAGTCAGTTATTAAACCCAGTTAGAAGTATCAAGGGACAATGGGCATCATTTACCAGTATCCTTGGTGGAAGTGGTACTCAAATTCCCTGCTTAAGTAGAAAGTAACAATATTACAGTGTAAAAATACTCTTACAAGTAAAGGTCCTAAATTCACAGTGCTACTTAAGTACAAAAGTAATGGCGTCAAAATATACTTAAAGTACCACAAATAAAAATACTCATTTTCATGATCTTCTCTGAGGGGGGAGCTCACTTTCTCATACTTTGAAACCCCCTATACTAGGACATTGCACATGAATACTAGGATACCACTGAGCCTAGCATTTGATAAGTTAGGGTGTTAATAAACCTGGAGACATCAGGTTCTCATATTTTCACATTCCCTGTATTAATGAACACAGCACACCAGGGCACCATAATTAACCTCCCCTTTGAGATCTGTACTTAACCCTTCCTGGCTGCAGTCCTTCAAAAGGCCTTTTGTATGTACCTGTGAGAGGTCAAAGGGTCAGATTCCGGTGTTTGGTGTGCTGGCTTGACAATTGGAAACATAGTGACCTTGCTCAGGGCTGCAACTTAAGAAGGCTAGATGAGATTTGTTTTTCTTTAAGCCAGTGGCCTTTTAACTGGATATGATGTTACCCACATATCATATATCATAACTGCACAAAATTTCTTAAGTAAAAAAAATGAATGTCTCTCTTGAACTTTGCTACATCACCAATGATTCTCCCATTAACCTGAGTGTAATGTTAAAAACAGTGACATGGTTTGCAGTGAACTTATTCATCAAACAGAGAAAACAGAAAACTAGCTTATTAAAGGAAAAAACACTCCTGATAGAGAAGGTTTTTCCTGCTGTTTACGTCTATCTGGAGTCACACTCAGCTTGGGCTGCCAGCTACTGGTACATGCACACACACTTTACAGCCATGTTTAATCCACCTCCTCAAAAGAAGAACTTCTTATAAAGTGTGTTTTAGTACAACTAAGGTTAGTGTGTTAACTCTAGGTGACAGTAATTGAAGAAAAACGGTCCCACCTATTGCCCAAAAGCTACAAACCACTACTAAAGGATCGCAGCCTACGTTTCTAGGCACTTGTCAGTTGTAAGTAATGGGTTTTATAATATGTGATTAAGGTTCAAAAATGTATTCGGATTTAATCATTCTGTGGTGCATGAAAGTGTGCTGTGAGCTTTCATTCCACCTCCAAAGGCAGAATTACAGAACTCATTCTTCCATGCCGAGGCTGGCGATACAGTTTGTGTTACCGTGCTCAAGTCAGCCGAGCAGGAGGGACTTTAACCACAACAAATGAGAAAATGGGGTGTGAGAGCCATTATGCTAGGCACAGAGCACTTTTGCTGTGATGAAAAGAAAGGCATAGTGGAATGGAAGCAAAGACAGGTGACTCGGGTTACATAACTCAAGGCGAGGAAAATGAACTGTATCTGAGCATGTGTTTTTAAAACACGCATTTTCTTTAAGGCTGAGGACAACAAAATCGCCCTTGAGCTACATGATAAGAGGCGACAAGAAAAACAGCAGCAGTCACCCAAACATGTAACGGAATATAGCAATACAAGTAGTGTCCTTTTAGGTAATGATCTCAATATTAAGGGTTTGAGTTCTTGTCTAATGCAGAGTGATAAGGTCACCTTGGAGTGATTGTGCACTGTGGTGTAACCAGGGCTTTCTACTGCACATAAAGGAGTCGGATCATAAAGGCCAAACCTAATGAGGTCTGAGAGAAGAATCTGATAAGAGTCTGAAGCACACCATTTAGCCAGAGGATTTAGAGTTCAAACATGTAGCAGTGCGACTGCAACAAATGGAGCAACAAATTGGTGCAATAACTTATAATGAATCCACTGTAAAAGATCTATTCACACAATTTGTATAATGTTGTTTGCAAAGCCCGACTGTATTCTACAAGGCTGATAGCTCTCAGACGGTTGCTTTTTGTTACCATTAATGAAGAAGGAAACAAAATGTTACCATGTCTTTCACCATATAAATACAGAATTGCAGTCACTGTGTCCCTGCTGCTTTTTGAGCTCTGGTCATACGCCATAGACTATGTCACACGCTGTTGCTGCTGCTGCTGCGGTCTGAACTGACAATACCACAAGTGGCTGGTTTGGGTGCCAGCGCTGCAGTTTAGGAGCAAAGACTTTGGGTTTTGGTAAAGTTGCTTTTGCAAATGGTGGAAAAGGTTTTTTCCTATGATACAGTTCACCTGCATATTTTACAGAAGATATCTGCAGCTTATCCAGCATTAGAAGCCTAAATCGTTTCCAAATCACTGAAGTTATGGGACCTCTATTTGCCACAATTTTCTCGTCTTGTGCAGACGTGCATTTTCCTTGATTTGGCCCTACATGTGGCAGCTCTGTAAGCCTTTTGCAGTAGCCTAATAGGGTGACTGTGCAGAGGGTTGGCCTACATGCAGAACAGATGCATGTACTAAAAATTATTCAGTTTACAGTTTATCATTGGCGTGGAAATTTTTTCACAATAATTCAGATCATTTATCCACAGGCCTACATGATGATAAAACAATATTTTTCAATGCAACTAAGAGACTCTTAGAGACGTCCTTTGGACTAAACAGAAATTACCCATGTGTGGCTGATTTAACCTATAATATAGCCAGTGACAGATCCAAGCAGAGTGTGGATACCCAAACCGAGCCCACCAATGCCCGATGGTACCTAAGGGTTTGGATGGGAATTATGTTCAGGTCCAGTTTGGGTTCGGACACTTAGGTCAAACTTTAGGCTATATGACTGGAGCACTCAAATGTCTGCTTTGTTTAATGATAAGGGGCAAAATGGTTGGGCAACTCAACTGTGCTGGGCTCAGGTCAGGTTTGAGCACTATATACACTACAAGCTTGTCTGGGTCTGGGTTCGGACAGAAATATGCAGCCTGATCCATGCTCCAATCCCAGGGTAAGGGGTTACATAGTTTATTACATAGTGTAAATGATGGTGGAATTGAGAATTTTATGTTAAAATTCCTTTTAAAGAACTGCACTGCAGGACATTTCCTCATGAGGCCTTTCTTTCTTTTTTCCACTGACATGTTGCATCTTTTTCAGCAGCTGTACTGTATCCTCTCATATAATGCACTGATCACTATGTCCTTTTTTAAGCACTGATCATTTATGATGCTTAAACAATAACCTGTACAAGAAAGCAATAATTATTTCATGATGAAATAAGAAATTATGTCTCTCTCCTCTCTCTTAGTTGAGCCTGCATCCACAAAGGAGAACAACTGTCTGAATGCTGCCAAAGCCTGTAACCTGAATGACACGTGTAAGAAGTACCGTTCAGCTTACATCAATCCATGTGCTAGCAGGGTGTCTGCTTCTGAGGTCTGCAACAAGCGCAAATGCCACAAAGCTCTGCGACAGTTCTTTGACAAGGTGATGAAGCATGTTCACTTTCAGAGCCATTTGCAGCTGCGTGTTTGAGCCATGTTCACATTAGCCATTACTTTGTTAAAACATTTTTAAACTGGATAAACTAAGATACTCAACTACTCAAGTGCAGGTGGATTTAGAAGTTGGTGTTTCCTTTAGATGGCAAGGAAGATTAGTTTTGCAGCTATCACTGAACACCTGAGAGGAAATGGCGGTTTTTTTTGCCCACAAAATAAAACACCACCAGTGCCATATGTTCTTTCTCCTCTCTTTCCAAAATTAAGGTTCCAACTAGATACAGCTATGGGATGCTGTTTTGCTCCTGCCCAGCAGGGGATCAGACAGCATGCGCAGAACGCAGACGACAAACCATCGTGCCCGTCTGCTCCTACGAGGATAAAGATAAACCAAACTGCCTGTCTCTTCAGAACACATGCAAGACTAACTACATCTGCAGGTAAGGAGGCAAGACAGCTCCTTAACAGGCTTCATCCTTTTTCTCAGTGTGCATGTGTAGCAATAACTTTGTCTCCTTTTATGTCTGTACATTGAAAAACCAATTACAGTTTCTAGGAAGCGCATATCACCTGCAGAGAGAGTCTCAGTAGTAATTCAGAAGGTCTATTTTAAGAAAGGATAACTGCTGTTCTAGCGCAAAGTACACACTGAAAACTGAACATGAGGTTGTGCCAGTTTAATTCAGGGCTGTGATCAAAGAGGAGTTACTACATAAATAGGTTTTCATCCAAAACCCCAACTCTATATTTTGCATTCTGCACTTTTTCTTTGAAACCTTACAATTGTGTAAAATGGCTGCAAAAAATAGAAAACTGTTTTGTGTATGTGACATTAAATTACTCAACCAATCTGACAAGGCACTTGCCTAGTATAAACTTAGTATCTAATAACAGCATCAGGAAATTAGCATCTACCATATAACTTGTATCTATTGCTTTTTAGGTCAAGACTGGCAGACTTCATCAGCAACTGTCAGCCAGAAGCTCACTCCATCTCCGGCTGTCTGAGGGAGAACTATGCGGACTGCCTGCTGTCTTACTCAGGTCTTATTGGTAGGTTGTTCTCTGATGCAGTTTAAAATTGGCTTCAGAATAGACTGAGAACAGATAACTATAGACTGATAAGAAACACCATCAGGTTCTGTTATGATTTGTGTCTTATGATTTGATTTGGCTTTTATTCAGATTAGCGTGGGAAGTAAACAAGAAATGAGCAGAACATAATTCACAGATGTTTTTCCAAGTAATACACATCATTTGTCAGCCAATCTCTGCTCCGATCTTGATTTTCCTTTTTTTTTTCCTTGTGCTGTGTGAAGCTTTTGTCACCTTGATTAGAAGTGATGTATAAAAGATTGTTTTTCCTGAACCAAAAGCAAACAGAAGCCCATTAAAAGTGTGAAAAGCTGATTCTTCTTCTAAAACAGCAGCACAGAATTTAAACCAGTTCTTCAGAGCTCAAAGTACAAGGATCATTCACCACAACACAGTCACCATACAGCCATGGTTGAACAATCCACTCATTAATATTGACTGATTAAGGAAAGTGTCAAATTGAAAAATATGCAATTGTTATTGTACATGACAACACTGACTACATTTTCTTCACATACTAGCAATGTATCATAAACACTCACTGCTTCTTTGCAGGCGTTAACCTGCTAGAATAAGAATTAATTGTCCAGACATTAACTAGCAAGCAAAGTTCAGTAAGTGGCGGTTAAGGCACCACATCAACCAAGCTGCCAGACGGATGATATCACAGTCAATAAACTGCAAATCTGTAGGGTGTAAATATCATCTCAGTTCATTTACCACAGCATTGTGCACGTATTCCATCAGCAGTTTTCATTAAAGGAAAGATTCTGCTGACATCATGTTGTTGACAGCACTTCAAATAAAATAAAAAATTTTATAGCACTTTAAAAAAACAACAGTATGTTGACCAAAGTAATTCATAATGAAGCATATAAAGGCATAAACAACACAAACAAAACAAAATATTCAAAATACAGATGTGTCAAGCTCTAGCAGTGAAAGTTGACAATTTTGTGGCAGATCTAATATTAATAGATAAGCTCTTCCATATTGTGGGTGCTGCCACAGCAAAAGCTTGATTATCCCAACATTTATACCTGGACTTTGAACCCTCTAGAAGTGTCTGACCTCAGTGATCTCACTGGCAGCCAACACTGTAAACATCCAGCAAGATACAGAGGTGCTGAACAGTGACGTGCCTTAAAACGCAAACCCCAATAACTTAAAATTCTAAAAATGAACAGGGAGCCAGTAAAGTGAATAGTTAAGTCTTAGAATAATGTATATGTTGTGGAACAGACGTAACTGGCGATGCCATATCATTTAGTGGGATAGAGTACAAGTCAGTGAAGCTTATCATGGTGCAGCGGGTTGCTGTGTCTCTGTAAAGGCAGAGGGTGGAGTCACCAGTGGAGTCTCACTAAAGCTAATAGCATTTGCAAATGATGGTTATCATAACACAGATCACCAGTGAGGTATATTGCAAGTCAACACAAGTTCTGTAGAATGTGTAAATGGGATAAAAGCTCCCTATGATGTTGAATAACCTCATCCTGGTTAGCTTACCTACAGTACAATAGCTGTCCTATTAGAGGGTTTCAACTATAATAATGGGACTACAGTTTACACTGTCTTCGTCACTTCTTTAACGATGCAGGTACGGTGATGACACCAAATTATGTGCGCGCTCTCGGCATTAGCCTGTCACCATGGTGCGACTGCAGCAGCAGCGGGAACAGCAAGCCAGACTGTGATAAATTTGCTGAGTATTTCACCAACAACCGCTGCCTACGTGAGTTCCCATATTCAGTGATCCTATCTTGCACTATTCTTCACTGCATTAAATCAGATTTAGTTGCATTGTCCAGACCTAAGTTGCTCTTTTGAAATAGTAATTGCTTGAAACAGATCGAGTTGAATGTGATGGTCTATCATGTCTGACAGTTGGTCTTTACAATGATTAAACACCAGACCAATCAAAAAGGAGTGTTCGCCCACATTCTGTTTTACTTTTGAAAATGCATCTTAAATTAAATTTCAAATTGATGAGAAATTAACATTATATAAATTATTTTTGGAGTTTTCTTGTTTCAACCGTTTATTAAGATCATTTCTGTACAGTTTTGTGAATCATAGCTTTTACAGGCAGACACCGCTAAAAAGGCTCTTGAAGAACATTTCTCTTCCTACCTAATTATCTGAATTATCAAGTATAAGCAGCCTTTAGGTGGACATTAAAAGGTTTTTGGCCATGCCACTTATTTCAGAGGCAAGGACTGAGGACACCTAAATTGTTGGATGTTATATGATAATGTTCATTACATGTAATTTACAGCTGAATCAAAGTCATGGCACTGGATGCATCATTTCTTGTATATTCTAGCATTTTTTTGCACTTGGTCAATTCCTTGTATCTTCTGTGTATGTACAGGATCAAGCATGTCACCAAGCCGTACACTGTTTTTTGCAGGTAACGCCATCCAGGCATTTGGCAACGGTACTGATGTTGGAGTCTGGCAACCTCAACCCCCAGTTCAGCCTACTGCAGCAGAGTCCAGCATCACTCGGAGGGGCAAAGAGAGAAGCAGTAACGCACTGGACGCACTGACAGACATGACCAAACTGGAAGGCAACTCATTATATCACATCTGTGGGACTTTACAGGTGAAATTTTAACCATAAAAAGTTTTAAAACTGGCCTTTGTGTGTTTGGTGTAGCTTTTATCAAACAATAACACTGATGTAAAATTTCAGGATATAATAGTAGATAAAGAAACAGAGAGGATAATTGTCTCCAATTGTGCTCATCTAAGACACAGTCCTGTGCAAGTCTTAGCCCACCATTAGTTTTTCTGTTTTAGCAGGTTGTAATTATAGTTTATATTTATTTCTGTCTCTTCATTAAGATATAACCAGAAAATATAGGAAAAATGTACACAATATTAAACACCACAACATTTTCAGAACAAACTGGCTTCTACAGTCTGAAGTCAAGACAAAGAAACTTCTCATCAGATCAGTTTTCTTGGTCCACTCCTGTTTTGTCCTTGACCTCTCTGGATTCTTCATATTTCTTTAGAACAGCCTGATACCACATCTGGAGTGTCCACTTTGTTTTTTTGTGTTTTTTTAATAGTGTGTATGCATTTCCTGTATTTTCTAGTTGTACTTTGATAAAGAGACTGAGAAATAAACATAGAGTCATCATAACATTGCTAAAACAATAAATCGAATGGTGGACTTACACTTTTGCCCAGTGCTGTACCTTAAGAAATGATAATGTCTAAGTGTCCGGTGTCTAGCTCTGTCACCGTGATGGTTCAGGGCTGGTTTTATGATGGCATGCACAGATTCCCCCCCTCCCAGGCAGAAAGATGAGACATCACTGAGGAGTCAGAGTTTCCAAAGCCGTCATGTCAAAGCTAATTGGTTGCCACGGTAACATCAGAAGTAACCTACAGGGGTGTCTGTGACTGTGTGTGTCCACAGGGACAAAGTATCATTATAAAGATATAACACGCCTTCTGTTCCCTAAATACTGGATGGTTAAGGGCAGGGAAAGACTGAAGTATATAAACAAATCTCTACTACTGCAGCTTTGCTGCGTATGGTTGCTGACATAAGGCACACACGTCAGTGAACATCTCTCTACCTCATGCACTTGCGCTGAATATAAATCACTAATTCCAAACAGCTGCATAATTAGTTACGAGTTGCTTTGACTGTGTCTGTTTGGTGACACAACAGCGTCTCCACAAAACTTCAAGCTTCACAGCATAAGTAGAGGTCACGAGTTCATTTCTGAAAAGCTCCAAAACAGCTACTAAAGTGACCTCGCTGTGACATTATCATCATTTTTAATGGTAGTTGTAGTTTTTTTCCCCTCAACTGTTTGTACTCCAGCTACTTTTTGGCCTCACCAGCACACCTCAGACCTCTGCTATTCTCCACTGATAAACACAATGGAGCCATATTTTTTTCAGATGATATCACATATTTTAAGTGAGAGATTCTATCAACTGGTCTTTAATAGCGATAATATGATTTATCACCAGTAAAAACATTCTCCAGGAGAGACGACCTATGGAGCAATGAATCATTCTTCTCTGGAATCCTGCTTCACAGAATTCCAACATGTGGAGTGTTTATGTTCCCAAACCACTAGAGAGTCACTTTATCATTTGCTGTACAACATCTCTGTATCTGTGTATTTGTTTATGCATGTGCGCTGTTTCTGTGTATAGCTGAAGAGGCCTGGCACAGTCTCAGAGTTTTAAATCGATTAAACCCACATAACCTTGAGCTTCCACAAACAGGCAAGCTCACAAACTTTTGCACAAACACATTTAAATCTTTCACATCTTGTATGAGAAAGGTAATTATACACAAGAGATCTGTGTAGGCCTAAACTACAGGATTTGGTGGAAACAAAATCTAAATGTTATTGTGCTGCACAACTGGAGCAGTGAGAATGTGTGGTGATGCTGTAATGATTTTGCCTGACCTTGTAAATCTCAGAACCTGTGCACTTTCTTTAACTGCAGCTTGTTTTTATCCTTCCAGGCCCAAAAACTTGTGTCAAATCAAACAGTGGATACTGGTGTTTGTGTGGTAAGTATTGTTTTATTTTATATGTTCTTTTCACGGTCGCTCTTAGAGCCCAAACTACTAAATAATAATGATTTTTAAAAATAACAGTGGGGTCACTACTAATAGTTTTTTTAAAATCCTTAGACATTTTTATATGGATCAATTATCTTTGCAGAGTTCAACATTTCACAATTAAAAAAATTAATTCACTGTAACAGCTAACAGATGCAGGAACACTGAAGAAACCGGGTACCATTGGTCACCATCCGAATATACTCTAGTGCAAAATTTGGCTGAATTTCCAGAAAAATAAAATGTGAATATAGGGTATGTGCATTTCCATCCACCACTACCCAGTGACATAGACAGTGGCTGTGCCAATTCTCCAGTCAGGTGCCATCACAAAAGAAGGAGGCACAACAAGATGGTGTCACTGCAAGAGCAACCATCAAACCACAAATGATGGAAACAAGATGGAAATATCTGATGCCATTTTTCATCTTCACCAAGTGACATTTACACGCTTTGTGAGAGTCAGTGTCTGTTTCCATATCACCTTGTCACTTTTTGTTTTCAACGATACACCAACTTTTCTATCTCAGCCAAGAGTACGAATTTTTAAGCAATATTTCCGCTTCTTTTTCAGATTTTCAGTGCTTCAGCTTGGGCCTTTTATGTACAAATTGTAAATGCACATAGAACAACAAGTGCATGGAAATGAATTTAAAAAATTACAATAAAATTACAACGTAAATTAGTTTTCCAGCCGTGTGACTTCCATCAAATATTTCTGTAATATCAATGAAAAGGAACTGACATACTGTATATGAATTATCAATTTCAAAATATTTATTTTCAACACAGTGTAACAAACTCTGTGGTTCTTTCTCCGTCAGAACCATGACCTGGACGAGTCCAGTGATTCACATGCCATTGCTAGAAGCTCACCAGCTGAACTCACCTGCTTACCTCCCTCAAGTATGCTCCTGGCCCTGGCCTTTGCTTTTACACCAACAGTATTACCACTTGAAGGTTTCCAGCTTTTGTAGGATGTAACAACTGTGGCTCAACGCTCTTATCTCAAGAAAAGATTCAGCTCATTTTAATTTAACCATTTTTCAAAGTGTCACGCCTACATTTGTCTAGAAGTGGAAAAAAGCAACTGGAGTCCATGTTGACTGTGTTGAAAACAGACCTACTGAAGCTGTCGCAGAGATTATCATCTCATTTGCCTTCCATGCCTTGTGGGGGCAATTTGGTGACTTCAAAACTCACACTTAAAATACTTTTTTGTTTTGAGGGGGGAAGTAAAACCCTGTGATCTGATAACTACGTGAATAAATTCACTTCTTTTGGAGTGTGTGCAGTCAGTACACATTTGACTGCCACTGTGCTGAACTGTGTTTTGAGGACGATGTGGTTCATTCTCTGCTTACAGTAACTGTGCTATGATTTGTCTTGCCAATAAAGTTGATTTAGTGAAAGAAAAGGAAAACAAAGTGTTGATCTAAAAGGGTTGATGTCACATTGGACTAACACATTTCATAACTGCACAGTATGGAAAGTGATTCATGTAACATTACATCCCAGTATCCTCAAAGGACAAAGTGACAGTTTTCTCGTCTACATTTTAGATCAGATAGATCAATTTTGTAGCTTGAGTCGATTGTTATGGTGTTTTTTAATCACATCACCCTAAAAATAACACTTTGTACATATGATACATGAAATGTGCGCTTTATTACAGTATGCTGCCGTTAGCTTGTGACATACTGTCTGTAATGTTGTTGAGACTATGTTAGTATCTGACGACTGAGGCCTCTCAGCTCTATCCAGTGTTGCTATGATTTAGAAAATGTGATGGGGTATGTTTCATTGGTCATGTGGATAAAGGCTTTTATTGTGTGATTAAGTGCATAATTGTTATCTTGGCCAGAACCTTTCATTTTTAATAATAAAATCATCTGTAGCAGCAAAGAGAACAAAGATATTTAAGAAAAATATTTAATAGCTGCAAAGTCAAATGTTTTGTTGATTTGATCCAGAATTTTAAAGTGCCAGTTTGCTTTTTTATGTTTTTGTATCTTGACAGAGAGCGAGTGGACAAGGGATTGATAAATAAAGTGTGTACAAACCTACGAGTAGAGTGAACCACAAAAGACAAAAGCAGACTTTCATTATTAGCAATTACTGCTGATGCAAATGGAGATGAAAACAGTTATTATATATTTAATGACACCCTAACCCTATCAACGACATTCAAAGAATGTACAACATAATGACAGTAAACACTGAATGCTTCTTTTACATATCCTTACCATTTCTAAAGTGAATAAAATGTGTCACTTCCATGTATGATCCCTGTCATCTAAACTAAAGCCTCTAATGATGCATTTTCATCCTCCTCCTTTATAGACTGTTTTTCAAAAGGTTCAAAAAGTTTTGGTCACACAGAACAACCTGGGCTAAGCTGGACCTACTAATATTACCAGCACAAACCTAACGACAACTCACACTGAAGGCCACCTTTATGTACAAGTAGCCATGAAAAATGTTTGAAATTTTGGTTTGTCTGTTCAGTGTTTACCAAACCGATGAAATAAAAATGGTGAACAGTGACTCATACTGGTTTCTACAATGAACAGCAAATGATCCATCCTGTTTTTGGTTCCTATCACTCCATTTGGCTGCTCTTTCAGCACCTACTGTAGGAGACTCCAGTAAAGCTGGATTACAAAATACAGTAGCACCAGGCAGACAGACTACCATTGCCAGTCTGATCACATCAGTCTCTGTGTGGAGTGACACAGGCGGACAAGGACGCAGCCTACAGAGGACAGACGTCTGAGCGGACGGGCACACCTGTTCTGGCACAGTGATGGAATACTTGACCTAGACAGAGCCTAAGATTTATTAGAGTTGTCACAGAAGCAAAAGGGCCCAAATATCGTCCTAATGTTATGCATGAGATGGAAATGACAACTGTCCATTCTAACTGACAGGAGGAAAGTGTGGGGAATGGGGTAAGAAATCCCTTTTTTTAAAAGGGGAATTAACTAAGATTTTACACTGTCTGATAAATCAAGTGAAAATGGGACAGGACATTTTGTCTCCTTGCTGTTTCTGCTCCTTCATACTCTGACTTCACTACATTTTAGAGGCAAAAATACTTTTTACTCCACTACATTTATTGGATAACTTCAGTCACCTTTTAGAATCAGACTATACAATTACAGTATGATCATAAGAGTTTATTGATTCTTAGTGGAAAAATCAAAAACTACCCAGCAGTACTTCAAATTATAAGGTAGCGTTTTTAGTTCCACTTTTACAGCTACAGCATTAAAGTGATAATCATGTATCAATAGTTATAATTAAATAATATGATATACTGTACATCAATGTAAAATGTGCCATTTTACTGTACATAATATGTACTTTTACTTTTGGTACTTTAAGTACAAAGTACTTGCATCAAAATATACTTAAGTAACATTTTTTAATTTAAGACTTAATTGTTGTAACAAAGTATTTTTACATTGTGGCATTGCTACTTTTACTTATGTAAACAATCTCGGTACTTCCTCCACCACCTGTTATAAGTAGATATGAAAAAAAAGAGTCAGTCATACCAAGTAATCATTTTATGCTGTTGTACAGAAAAACATAAGTGTAGATAAAAAAAAACTAAATGAACAATACTAACATACTGGGCTGTATAACTATGTGCCTTTTGTGGTTACTCTGAGGGTGGAAAAAAAAACAAATTCTTGCTTATTTGTCAACTAGCCAATCACAGTTTAATTGTTCGGGTTTTATGAATGCAGCACACAGTAGTTTGCTGAAGCATTGAGACAAGAATAGCTGTCATTAAACGTATGATAAATATTACAGCTCCCCAGGTTTACTGTTCCCCTGCCATAAAGTCCCGAGGACTTGGAGATTTGTTTTGACACTCTTCCTCCCACAACTATAAAACCACTGCAGGTCTACTCAATCCAAATGTGCACCCTTGGCACAGATTAAACAGGATACTGATAAAACAGTTCAATCATAGCAGCACTGCCTGGTAGGGATCACACATCTAATTACTGCAACTTTGACCTCTCCAACAACATTGTTTCAGCACCTTGAAACTACTCTGTGGATTTCACCTTTTCCATTAACCAGGAGAGCAGCAGCAATTTCACTTTATTACTTTCTTTTTGTTGTTGTTGTGCCCAAATGTCAGTGTGTGCCTGCCTTTTCACAGTAAACACTGCATGGCATCAGTTATTTTGAGATGCTTCTTCACATCTTCTCCAGAACAGTGCAGCAGCAAAGATAAGAGATAATAATACAAGTGCTTGATTGCACAGTGAAGCCAAAAGGCTCTACTCAAGTGAAAAAACTGGAAGACACTGAAAAGATTTTAAAATTCTGAATGGTGTATGAAAAATAGAGTATGAAAAACAGAGTCAACATGATAAAGCTAAAAAAAATTAAAAAGGGGGGGGCTGGTTGGGGACAAATATATACAGTAGGTACGGAAAGTATTCAGACCCCCTTAAATTTTTCACTCTGTTATATTGCAGCCATATGCTAAAATCATTTAAGTTCATTTTTTTCCTCATTAATGTACACACAGCACCCCATATTGACAGAAAAACACAGAAGTTTTGACATTTTTGCAGATTTATTAGAAAAAGAAAAACTGAAATATCACATGGTCATAAGTATTCAGACCCTTTGCTCAGTATTTAGTAGAAGCACCCTTTTGAGCTAATACAGCCATGAGTCTTTTTGGGAATGATGCAACAAGTTTTTCACACCTGCATTTGGGGATCCTCTGCCATTCCTCCTTGCAGATCCTCTCCAGTTCTGTCAGGTTGGATGGTAAATGTTGGTGGACAGCCATTTTCAGGTCTCTCCAGAGATGCTCAATTGGGTTTAAGTCAGGGCTCTGGCTGGGCCATTCAAGAACAGTCACGGAGTTGTTGTGAAGCCACTCCTTCGTTATTTTAGCTGTGTGCTTAGGGTCATTGTCTTGTTGGAAGGTGAACCTTCGGCCCCGTCTGAGGTCCTGAGCACTCTGGAGAAGGTTTTCGTCCAGGATATCCCTGTACTTGGCCGCATTCATCCTTCCCTCGATTGCAACCAGTCGTCCTGTCCCTGCAGCTGAAAAACACCCCCATAGCATGATGCTGCCACCACCATGCTTCACTGTTGGGACTGTATTGGACAGGTGATGAGCAGTGCCTGGTTTTCTCCACACATACCGCTTAGAATTAAGGCCAAAAAGTTCTGTCTTGGTCTCATCAGACCAGAGAGTCTTATTTCTCACTATCTTGGAGTCCTTCAGGTGTTTTTCTTTTTTTAGCAAACTCCATGCAGGCTTTCATGTGTCTTGCACTGAGGAGAGGCTTCCGTTGGGCCACTCTGCCCTAAAGCCCCGACTGGTGGAGGGCTGCAGTGATGGTTGACTTTCTTTGACTTTCTACAACTTTCTCCCATCTCCCGACTGCATCTCTGGAGCTCAGCCACAGTCATCTTTGGGTTCTTCTGTACCTCTCTCACCAAGGCTCTTCTCCCCTGATAGCTCAGTTTGGCCGGACGGCCAGCTCTAGGAAGGGTTCTGGTCGTCCTAAACGTCTTCCATTTAAGGATTATGGAGGCCCCTGTGCTCTTAGGAACCTTAAGTGCAGCAGAAATTTTTTTGTAACCTTGGCCAGATCTGTGCCTTGCCACAATTCTGTCTCTGAGCTCTTCAGGCAGTTCCTTTGACCTCATGATTCTCATTTGCTCTGACATGCACTGTGAGCTGTAGGGTCTTATATAGACAGGTGTGTGGCTTTTCCTAATCACGTCCAATCAGTATAATCAAACACAGCTGGACTCAAATGAAGGTGTAGAACCATCTCTGGGATGATCAGAAGAAATGGACAGCACCTAAGTTAAATATATGAGTGTCACAGCAAAGGGTCTGAATACTTATGACCATGTGATATTTCAGTTTTTCTTTTTTAATAAATCTGCAAAAATGTCAAAAATTCTGTGTTTCTCTGTCAATATGGGGTGCTGTGTGTACATTAATGAGGAAAAAATGAACTTAAATGATTTTAGCATATGGCTGCAATATAACAAAGAGTGAAAAATTTAAGGGGGTCTGAATACTTTCCGTACCTACTGTATACTGTAACCCTGTCTTACAGAATATATGCATACTATACATATAGTGGGGCAAATAAGTATTTGATACACCGCCGATTTTTCAAGTTTTCCCACTTACAAAGAACAAACAGATCTGTAATCTTCATCGTAGGTACACCTCAACTGTGAGAGACAGAATCTACAAAAAAAATCCAGTAAATCACATTGTTAGATTCTTAAATAATTTATTTCTATTTTATTGCATGAAATAAGTATTTGATAAAATAGAAAAATAGATCTTAATATTTGGTACTGAAACCTTTGTTTACAATTACAGAGGTCAGATGTTTCCTTTAGTTCTTGACCAGGTTTGCACACACTGCAACAGGGATTTTGGCCCACTGCTCCATACAGGTCTTCTCCAGATCTTTCAGGTTTTGGGGCTGTCGCTGGGCAACACAGAGTTTCAGCTCCCTCCATAGATTTTTTTTATTGGGTTCAGGTCTGGAGACTGGCTAGGCCACTCCGGGACCTTGAAAAGCTTCTTACGGAGCCATGCCTTAGTTTCCCTGGCTGTGTGTTTGGGGTCATTGTCATGCTGGAAGACCCAGCCACGGCCCATCTTCAATGCTCTTACTGAGGGAAGGAGGCTGTTGCCCAAAATCTCTCTTGCAATTCATGGCCCCATCCATCCTCTCCTCAATACGGTGCAGTCGTCCTGTCCGCTTTGCAGAAAAGCACCCCCCAAAGCATGATGTTTCCACCCCCATGCTTCACAGTTGGGATGGTGTTCTTGGGATTGTACTCATCCTTTTTCTTCCTCCAAACACGGCAAGTGGAGTTTATACCAAAAAGTTCTATTTTGGTCTCATCTGACCACATGGCCTTCTCCCATGCCTCCTCTGGATCATCCAGATGGTCTTTGGCAAACTTCAGACGGGCCTGGACATGTGCTGGCTTGAGCAGAGGGACTTTGCGTGCGCTGCAGGATTTTAAGTCATGATGGTGTAGTGTGTTACTAATGGTAACTGTTGAGACTGTGGTCACAGCTCTCTTCAAACTTATATAACCTATTCAGACTCCATGGTACAGTAACCTGAAGACCTGTCAGTCTGCTCAAAACTAATTTGTTGACTGTCCAGTACACAGGAGTCCAGCACCACGGAGAGCGACGCTCCCACAAAGGGCAACCTGGAGTTAAAATAAAGCGCATGACACCAGGGATAAATCCCAATCTCCTTAGCTGATTGTTCCTCACTTCTTGATCCTCACTCAACCTGGAAGTCTGTCTAGTCTGCCATCTTGAAGGACATCCCAAAGCTCTTATATTCTGCCCTAAGGAGCAAGGATGCTACTGGAGGAGCCAAGAGCAAGGACACAAGAGACCATTCTTTCCTTTTATGGACCAACACACCCTTTATAGAAATCAGTTGGTAACTGGATGCTTCAGATGAAAAATTAGAGAAAAAGGATGATGACATTTCCTTGATTCTACTCTCTGCTTCCTTTTAAACGACCGATGCCTGTTGATTTTCAGTGTCGGCTCTGTTTCAGGCCAGTGTAGCTAACCTTCTATGCGTTTCAAATTTTTGTTCCCATATACGTTTGTGTTGCCAATGGCAGGTTTTATTTTGAAGTCTGTACTGCTCTATTGCTAGCAGATCCTTCTGATATGTTTACACACTGGCTATGGTTTTCATAAAAACGGGTGTTCAACCAGCTAGTGGCTAACTTCTAGAGAAACATGATGACTCTTGCTGAGTAAGTCTTGATCATATTGTTCAGGCTCATCAGATCTACAGTAGGGCCACATATGCTAGCAGCCTAGATCTGATAAGAAAACAAATCAGATTTAATCTAATCTGAGTCTCTTGGTCTCTTGGACTGGGGAGGGGATCAGATTTGGATCACTTCTGAATGCAACACGAACATATTCAAACAAAGTAAAGTTAGATACAGAGGAGCCGGCCACATGGCTGTTCTCCTGTCTATACAGATAAGGCAACAAGTAGAATACAGGCTGCCATTTAATTAACTGAGATGAAGAAATCTAAAACTAACAATCCATCTACGGAATGCAGCTGTAGGCTGAACATGTCAGATAGGCAACAGATAATAATGACTAACTGACATATTCAGCTAACTGAAAAGGACTGGCCTCTTCTGAAACATTAGGTAGCACTGATATAGCAGCAGATGACCATCAGTACACAGATAAAGTTTAAGGCTGGCAATGAGTGCAGCAACAACATAATCCATAGAACAGCACTTTCGATGCAATTATGATATGAAACACAGCAGAGCAAGATGCTTTCTGAACCCATTGATTTTGAATTGTGTTGTTATAATGCTTAGCAGATAGGAATGTATCAAGATGTTATGAAGAGGATTAACCGCAGGACCAGACAGGGTGTCAGGCCGGGTTTTGAAGCTATGTGCTGACCAACTGGCAGGAGTTTTCTTGGACATTTTTAACCTGTCCCTGCATCTTGCTTCAGTCCCTGTGTGCCTCAAGTCCTCCATGATTGTGCCTGTGCCCACTAGCTGTCACCTGCCTCAATGATTACCACCCTGTTGCTCTGACACCAGTAATTATTAAGTGCTTTGAGAGGATCATTCTAAAGCACATCAAGGACGTCATCCCTGTTGGTCTGGACAGCCATCAGTTCGCCTACAGAGAGAACCGATCAACAGAGGATGCTGTCTCAATAGCACACAGGATACTCCAGGTGGGACAGGGCTAACACTTATGTCAGGATGTTATTTGTTGACTTCAGTTTGGCATTTAAAACTATAATCCCAGAGAAACTGGTACTGAAACTGCACAATTTGGAAATGCCTGTAGTGATGTGTCATTGGATTAAGGACTTCCTCACTAACAGGCCTCAAGTGGTGAGAATCGGAAGCTGCACATCATCCACACTGATCCTGAACACAGGCACACCACAGGGCTGTGTGCTCAGCCCAGTTCTCTTCACTCTGTTTACCCATGACTGTGATGCCATTCACCCCACAAACACAGTAGTGAAGTTTGCAGATGACACCATAGTAGTGGGTCTCATCTCAATCAATGATGAGACTCACTACAGAGAGGAGATCCAGCACCTGACAAGGTGGTGTTCAGATAACAATCTTGTCCTGAACACCAACAAGACTAAGGATGTCATTGTGGATAGGAGGTCCAGGAAGACACAACATGCTCCTCTTCTCATACAAGGGGAGGTGGTGGAGCAAGTGGATAACATCAAGTTCCTGGGCATCCACATCACATCTGACCTGACCTGGTCTCTGAACACATCCTACCTGGTGAAGAAAGCCCAGCAAAGGCTCTTTTTCCTCAGGAAGCTGAAAGTCAGGGCATTGTAGGAAGTCCTCTTCTGGATCTGGACTCACTATACACTGACCGGATCCAGAAGAGGGCTGGACAGATTGCTGCAGACCCCACCCACCCAGGCAACAGTCTGTTTGTGCCTCTTCCCTCCAGGAAAAGGTACAAGAATATAAAGACTAAAACAAACAGACTGAGACACAGCTTCTTCCCCAGAGCTGTGAAATCAATCACCCCCCTAACCCCTAGTCACCCACACACCCTCCCCCCTATGGACAGACACAGAACACTGGACCTCACACCTCCTCCTAAAGACTGAGATTTGCACTGTGCTGCACCTTATAATGTTACTACACTCTTTTGCTGCAAACATGAAGCTGACCTGATTAGGTCCCATACATCCCTTTTTACATGTTCATATTTTTATAGACATACAATTTTGTAAGTAAATAATGTGTCTTTTAAGCCGCGAGCTGCCGGAAAAAAATTTCATTGTGCTATGCATAATGACAATATTCTTGACTTGATTACCTAAAGTGACAATAAAGCCAGCAGTACACAGAAAAAATAAGGGCTGTGTGGAAAACAACAAAGATACCCTCTAGTACAGACTTTGCAGTGGGTCAACAGATTCCAACAACTGCAAGTCTGCCCATAACACTCATGGAATTCAAACTATAGCACAGTAAGACAGCAGAACAAAAGAAATTAACAAGCAGCAAATGCCAAAACCCATGAAAAGCAAACATATTTCCAGGCAAACATAAGCTAAACACACAGGGCACACCTACTGTACTGTGTGCAGACAAAGTCTTACTTACCTTGCTTAAGACAAGTAGCCATCCTCAACATCTCAGCAGAGCAGGCCACAGACCCAAGGACTTCCACCGTGTCCACCTTTAAAAGGCAGTTTGTGGCTAGGGGATCCAACTAAAACACAATTATTGCCCCACAAAGCCGCCCTGACCCGAGTTTAGACTGTTAACAGTCAAATCTAGATTCTTATGATGAATACCCAGAAGTAACGGCATCTTGTCTGAAGGATATTGACAGCAAACAGAAAGGCCAATTTAAATACCAATCTTGTTGCGGTATTTACGTACAAACATTACTTAGCCTATATAAAATACCGTTATTATGACAAGTTGGAAAAATACCAACTTTAACCAAGTTGTCCATGTCTGCCAATAAAGATCTCCGCAAAAAGTTACCCAGGTGTCCACAATTACACCAAAATGGCCGCGAAGGTTTGATCCCTACAATACTAACAGAGTCACTTCTATTACCATCATAGCTTTATTTATCACTATACCTAATGCCTTGTCAGAAAGAGGCTGCAATTATATAACCCGGTAAAAATGACAGATTTTGCTTATATTTTCATTTATCTGGTGGGACTACAGAATATATCGCGATCTTCCCACGGAACTTCAATTATAATGTATCAGCCAAACACATGGTTTGAATGGGTTATTATCTTGTGCTCACAAAAGAAAAATGCATAGTTAAATGGCTGTCATTATTCTCACGCCCAAACTGTGGCAGGACAGCTTTGAGAGCATCATACAGTTAAAATGACTGAACACATCTGCCTGTCTTAGTCTTTGACCAGCAGGGGGGTTTGTGTGCGCATGAAGCCTCGAGAAATGAACCCCTTTGCGAACTAATTGGCTGGAAGGCTTCAATGCTTCGGGAAGGTTCATCTCGCCATCACCACCAATTACATTACAATTCTTGAGAAAACACTGCACTCATAACTGCCTTTTCCAGCCTTGCACTTGGTGCAGAACATGTTCTTGGGTGTCATGGGACAGCTGCAACAGCAGGTAGCTAAAATTAAAAGGGCATGTTCCCTTGATAAATATCCTCCCAATGATTAATTAATAGATAAACTGACCAAAAATAATAATAAAAACCAATGCAATGTTAACTAAGCAATAGGACTGTGAACATCAACAACAAACAGGCCTAGCAAAATTAAAATCAATAAATGCATTATTAATATATGAGAAGCTGAAACAAGAGAGAAATTTTCTCGGCACTTGTGCTTAAAAATGAATTATTTACTCAACAAAGCAGATTTTCTGTCATCCAGACCCCACAACTCGTCATATTCAACCTTTCATTGGGTAAAGTGCAGGGATGATGCTAACAGAAGCTACCTTTGTGACACTAACTTTATTCAGTTTCAGAAGTACAGCTTAATGCAACAAACACAAACTGACAGCAAGGGCCTCAGCCTCCTCTAAAGATTTTTTTTTATATTCACCTACAGGAGTCAATAATGTCTGAGTCAAACAAGATCATGAGTAATATTCAAAAATTCAGTTCAGTCATATACCTTAGTCCATCCCATATTTTGCACAGTACATGGATTGCTGCGTGCATGCTGCATTGACTGTATTGTAATTCAGCCCATGGCTTGGAGATAATTACATAAAATAAAGCTTTTTAGAGTCAGTAATCCCGTTAAACATGCAAAAACATTCTGAATGTACCAACCAGGAAAGGATTCCACTTTTGCAGCTTTCACTATTAATCTTTTGTGCTCAGAAAATACTTTGTCTGGGTTTTGGTTTCTCTCTCTGTGATGTTCAGAGAGAATAATTATCATTATCTGAAACAATCAACCTCTGTTGAACAATGGGCACCAGAATGCAATTGCAAACTGGTAGTTTAAGCTTAAGAGGCACCAAGCACTGGACAGACAGAAGGAGAAAAAAGACAAGAGATGTGTTGAATAATTGGATGCTTCAATGCAAAAAGACTCCAGGTGATTTTCAGGCCTGTTTCTTTTTTATTTTCTGTCATGTTGTCCATCTTTAAAATACACTGAAGATTACAGATATGCAGTTTCTCATCTTTTTTCATGGTACAGTGAGACTGATTCCTGTGTAATGACACTGTTATAGGATTACAAACAAAATCCATACTATCCATATGAAATGCAACATAATGATCACTTTTCAAAAAAAAGCAAGACTGCCCACACAGTCGTTAAAGATGCACAATTCAAAAAGAATTGACTTTAACTGATTTAATTCAGACATCATGATATATAGGAACATGTTAAATGTGCTATTACACAGGAATCTGTTAAATATCAAAACAAAATATTAACAAAAATGTTCTTTTTACAAGTGTAGCAAAAAAAAAAAAATTATCATTAATATAACAGCAAAAGGTGGCAAGGCCTAAAATAAAAATAATCCCTTGCCATTCTGTCATAAAAACCTGACAAATGTGAAATTTCAGGAGATAAAAGTGACAAAGACTTTGTCCCAAGACACAGTACAGCTCAGCTCAGAGTGGAGTTAGGGCTAAAAATGGTCGACAGCTTTGAAAATTCTGCAGATCCTCAGGAGCCCGTGGAAAGCCAAGGCATTATAAAAGGTAAATTAACTCCTTGTACTCAAAAATGGAAATAAAGTTATAGCTTCAGAGGACTCTAAAAATACCTTACAAAACAAAGTAGTAAACAGGCAGCGGCGCATGGCCTCCCTGGTCTGATTTTATTTAGCAGACATCTTTTTTCCTAAATGGCATCCACCTACCACTTCTGTCCAAGGGAAAGTTCAAAAGCCTAATGTCCAAGTTGCACAGCAAAATGATAGAGTTATTAACCACAGTAAAGAATTTACTAGAACCTTAGTGCACCTTTCTGTTATGTAGCTTTTTCAACAGTGAACACAATGAAAAAAAGGATTTTTGTGACAAATGAAACTTCCAGTTTGTTAATAAAATGCATGTAACTTTTCTTAAGTTTCTGAGTTTTCCATGCTTTAGTTTGATGACTGATGACTTGTTTGTGCCTCCCCCAGTGCACAGTGCTCACCCACATACTGCTGGTAGTGATTGCAGTCTCATGTCTCTGCAGCATCTGTACATATATTCCACAGAAAATACAGATGTAAGCTTCAGCTGGGTGGATGATACAAATGTACACAAAATGCTAAAACAGATTAATAATGGTAATTGGCCAAGTGGTGTGACAAAATATCTCGATAACAAGGATCTGAGACTAGTGCATGACTTTCTCCACAAAAAAGGTGGCATGTACATGAAAGGTGAGTTAAGACCCAGGCTTATCACAGAAACTAAATGCTTTAGCATCATAAAATCCCACTTGTTAGCAAGCAAAAGAAATTCACATACCCCGTGTACTGAATATCTACCAGCTGTTTTCAATCATCTGTTCTTATTTCCAACAGAGTGTGAGGAAAATGTACATTTCCCGCACGCTGAGCAAATGGATGATGAAGTGTCACAAAATATTTATGACTGAAACTTCAAAAGATGAAGATTCTCCTAGTTAATCGGTGTCTGATGTCACTGATCGCTCATCAGGCAGGTGTCCTCTCAGCTTCACCACGGTGACCACCCAAGCCAAAGGGAAGAAGTTAGTAGATGGAAAAATTGTTGTTGCAAAGGCTGGGGAAGGATTCTGACATGGAGCAGGAAAGGTAATGAGGATTATGTTCTTAGGACATTAAAACTTCGGTGGTAGCAGCTGAATGAAATCTTCTACATGGAGCCATCTCTCGTCTCTGGAAAGCTTTCCAACTAGGACCCGCGAAATGTTGGAGCTATATCACCTCAGATGGCATAAAAAGGGACCCAATGGATCACAGGGTTACGACTCAGACGCAGGTGCCTTGGTGTGCAGGAGGTAGGGCTTTTCGGTTCTTTAAAGCCTGGGACTTGTCCTTAAAATCTGTTGGTTTCTGTTGTGAAATGTCTATCAGTGCACTGGCAATAATGAGTCCTACAAAGGGGAAAAAGCAGGAAAGGTTGTGAAAATCAAACAAAAGTTTGAAAAACACACAAGTGCACTGCAGGAGCATGTATAATATTTCAAACACACAATTCTATGGTCAGTATTTTCCAGCTACTTTAAGCAAATTGTCTTTTTCCTGTGGGGCCAAATATTTAGTGGTACCATCAGGAAGAAGACAAGATAGTGCTCTCTTTAAATGTAATGTAACTGTATGGTTTTGATATACATATATTCAGCATATTTTTGATGGCACACAAAATGTTATCTTTTTAACTGTGGGCTTGCTTTCTGAAACAAAGAAACATTCATTTAGTGAATCTTACTGTGTCTTACTGACCCAAAAAATACTGAAGACTTACACAAACATGCCTGTATCACTGAACCATGACTGGCATACACATATATAGAGGTGGAAGGTTGTGCTACATGTTGGTATGAAGTAAAGATAAGGTCTTCATAAATATGTCTAGTGAATTCATTACTTTTGACACAGCTGGTGTCACCCAATCATGGTCAACATTATCTGTATAAAGCAGATTCTTGCCAAGTGTCACAAACCACAGCAAATGTTTTTTTTAACCGCATAAGGACAATAAATATTTACAAAAATAACAAAAAAAATTCTCAGAATCCAACTTTCAAAGGGATGAAAATCAGGTTGAAAACACCAAACGATTCAGATTTATGTAAATCACTCCAATCAAAATTCAAACATCTCATATGAACATTTTTCATGAAACAAACTTCTTTTTTTTTCATTTTGTTCCAAGAATATATCACACTACTATATGGTTAGTACATATATCCTTTTTTAGACACAGATTTTAAAATGGAACCCTTTTAACCAAAACAAGAAAAGCAGCTGTGTTGCTACCTGACTGTCCTGGTGGCGGTAACTCTGAGGGCCCAGAGGGCAGACGCATGAGGATGGTAAATACAGCAGCTTTCCCTCCTGAACACGGCTCCATCGCAACAGGTTTAGGTGCGCCCTGAGGAGAGAAAGGGAGAGAAATTTCCATTTCAATTTTAGGGTTTATATTTCACTGTGAAAAGCTACACAGACGGTACAGTTTTGATGGTTGTTTTCTGCAACGTCACATGTGATGTTGAATTTTCTTTTCTGGTACAAGCAGACCAGTGTTCACCGACATTAGCTGCTGCATTTAAGCTGTGACAAATGGTTTGATTGGTCACCCAACAAAAACACTTGTGTGTGTGTGTGTGTCCCTGTCAGACAGTGCATGTGTTGAGGCACTGACCAACCCTCAGAGTTAATGGCCAAATCTGCTCATCTCAAGCGTGAAAAACATGTCATCCTGATAATGAATGTCAAGGGTTTCACAGCATGTTTTGGATGAGGGGATACAAATTGAGGAACAATAACATGTCTGAAGAGAACTGACTTTTTATTCTGTGTCTGCTTGAGTTTAAAATGGAGATGAGAGAGGCAGCAAAATGGGAGGAAAACAGGGATGCACAACCACATGTATTAAAACACGAGAACCAGAAGTGGGAGGCAATAATTTCTATTAACATGGAAGTTGCTGTATATTTCAACCTGTGCAAAAGGTAAAAACTAAACAATGATGCTAATTTGTGCACTGTGAATAAGCACTGAATCTAAAAGCCTTTATATACTGAATAAATTCATAATGTTAAGTACAAAACATGCAGTGAGCATCAAATGTTACACACAGTTACAGCTGCCAAATCACCAAAATATGCTAAAATAGAACAAGACGCTGATGTAAATTAATGTCAAAGTGCTGTTTTCCCCCACCCTTTTCAGTGTGGAGTCCTTTAATCAGAAGTAAGTGCAATCCTGTTTCTTAAGAAGCATGCAATATAATTTTCCATGCAACTGCCAATTCAGTTTACCATTTCAAATGCCACAGTTCACAACTGCTGTAAGTTTCCAAGTTACTCACTGAAGGGGGTGTTATAAGCAGCAAGCTTTAGCTATGTATTTGTAACAAAAAGGCAGGTGAGCAAAGCCCCCCCCCAAAAAAAAAACTACTATGAATGTCAACAAGCACATTAGCTGAGAATAATTAGTAGAGCCTTCTTTAACCAAAATCTTTTGAAAAAAGATTTAGCAGCCAATGTTTGGCTAGTTTCTGTTATTAGAATACAAACTATCCAAACATTGATTATGGAAGAATGGAGGATCTTCAGTGGTACACCGCTCTGCAAATGATTTATTGATCAAGTTTGAGCTAAGCACTGAAGGTGAAGCTATAGTAATGGTTAGTTAGCTTAATAATGAACTAGCTCAACAGTCAAATAAATGACTAAACCAAATTTTTACCAATTTTATGAAGCCTTTTAAACTTGGCAAACTGTAATAGACATGCTATTAAATGACATTTCTATGAGGCTTTGGATTTGCCCTTCATCAAAAGACAGCCCTCTTTGCAGAATTCAAGTAATTTGCTGAGGTCATGAATGCTGTCGAGATTGGCCCGGGCTGTTTTCCATTTGCCTGTACGACTAATCAGCTGGAACTAATGCAGAGGAACAGAGCAATGAGGAGAATGGAGGACAGGACAAAGGTGAAGGTAAAAAAAAAAATAACAGTGTAAGAATGGACAAAAGTACAAACAGAAAGTATAATAAATGTGCAAACTAATTGTTAATCAAACTAAACTAATCTAGAAAGCCCAACTTTTATAATGTTTAACTATCTTAAATTACTAACGTGGTGCATTGTATCACCATACTGTATGCTTATATGTCACTCCAATGCTGTGATTTTTGCCATTAAAGTATAAATAACACATTCTTATTTGCCTGAAAGGCAGTAATAATAGCCAAATGAAACCACCTCCTTTCTTCTGTCATTTGCTCTGTGAAATGTCGCTATCAATCTGGATAATATTCCTACAGTGCAGAGGAAAATAAAAACATTAATAAATCAGTTCTTTCCATTCCAATCATAATGTTGCCTTTTCATTCACAGATTTTTAAAACTTTTGGTTATTTTCATATCTTCCAAAGAAGGTTTGAGCCTGCATTTCTCCTATGCATTAATCAAGTGCGAGGACTATATAATGGTCTTTCACAACCATCCGAGCACACACACACACACACAGTATATCTTCTCTCCTTTCCCCCTGCTGACAGGTGTCATCAATCATATTCACCATCCGTTAGCGGTTCCATATGCTGAATGCCAGCCATAGCAAATAGGAACATCTGTGACATCGAGGCCTCAGCCTGCAACGTTCAAGCCCGATTGGCTCTCTGTCCAATAGCTGCTGACATCTTGGTCACTAAAAGCAATGTCCAATCTCTTGAGGGCTTAAGCTGCCCAAAAATAGATAAAATGGTCACAAAGGCTGTTATAATTTTCACTCAGACCAGCTGGAGGGTCTGCAAAGATTTAGTGACAGAGAACTGGTACCAACTAATGCAGTGAGACTGGTGTCGACAGTGCAGTCACAGAATAAACGTTTCCATGTGTTTAAAAGGGTGTGAGGGGTAATTTTGGTGCTGCAGCCCTTCTGTGTATTGTTTCTTGTACAAGCTGCAACAACTATTAATGCGATGTTAAGAATTATTCTAACCTTTGCACCTGAAATAGAAACTTTGACGCTACCCTCAGACTTCCACGCTGATCTGAGCCTGAGTTGAAAGTACGGACAGAACTGTGATGGTAGTGGGGCTATGGTGTCCTCTGTCATATCAACTAAATATTTCCAATAGCTAAGTTGTGCCAGATGCTGACCAATTAACCTTTATAAAAGAGAATTAGGGGTGTTTCATATGATTCACCTTCAGCTGGTGCCAGAGCATGTGGTGGAGCTTTTATGTGGTCCAATATCTGCATTTGCACATTTAAGCGCACAGATTTTTCTGAAGCAATTAGGGGTGTGTGATATATATGATCTGCAATAATATCTTAATTGGTGTTTAAACGATGTGTGAGCTGACATCATTGAGCATGTCACTGACAGACTACTGTGCGTGTGCATTCAGAGTCCACACTGTGTACATGGTCACACACCACTTGTTAAGCTAGTGTAGCTGCCTAAAAATGAATTAGCTGAGTTAAAAAATGAGTGAACCAGCAGCACCAGAATACAAACTACAGACACCACCAGCTCTGCAATTTACATCGTTAATTGCTAGACACGCATTATCTTCACTCGCATGAAGGGATTTTGGCTTTGAAAAGACAGATGTTGCTCAAAAGATTAAAACTATGTCAGAAATCTGTTGCTGTAAAGACAACTCGATAGCTTGTTTCATCAAGGACTAACCACCCCACAGATGATGAAGAATATGGAAAGCTTCTGGAGTCAGCTGTCGGCGACAGGACAACACCAGCCAAGATAGCAGCACACAAACACACTCAGCAAACTGTAGCTAAAGTGATCATTCTGCTAAAGTGATTTCAATGTTTGTGTACCGTTTTACTTTAATGCTTTGGTTTTAAGTAAATAAACAAGACCTGTTTTTCTTCAATATGTTGTTTTCATTAATGTCATTGGAAAGTAGCAATAATTATGATGCTATTAACTTGGGCGACCTTGTACAATATAAAATAATACAAATCCATTTTTAAAGGATGCAGAATATCGTCTGAGTATCATTACCCACAAACTAGCACTGACATTTAAAAAGCTGGCACCAACTATCTAAATACGACTATGTGTATGCAGACATATCTCAACATACCTATACAGTATATATAAATAAAACTTCCAAAGGTTCTCAGGCAATTTGTGTTATAATAATTTTATAGTATCTCCCCTAAGCTGTGTAGACATCTAAGTGAAACTGAAAAACAAGCATTCATAGGTTCATTGTGGCTCTTGAAAGGGTTGAGAAACAGAAGATGAATGTTGGTTTTTTTCCAGCTATCATTTCCAAAACAGCTTGAGACTCTGTTTACAGTCATACTCTCTAGTGTATGCAATGTCTTTACCTGCAGTACAGCTTGCAACAGCAACACTGTCCTTGGTTTTTGTGCAGGAAAAGACGGACTGGAACACATCTCAGTGACAGGTATGTCGTTAACATTTTACCGAAGTGAAGGCAAAGCAGTGGTTTTCATAGCCACTCAGGTTTCAGACTCAACACTAATTTAAAAATGCGACAATAAAATGCACTCAGAGAGCTAAGAAGCATTTTTTTTCCTCTTTCGCTCCTTACATTGCCCTTCACACCACCATAATGCATAGTGAGCACCACTCAGTACAACATTAATAGCTGATGTAGTGCCTCTTTGCTGGCTGCCACAGTTATTTTATTTCTCTCAGTGGCAGTTACCACAGAGGTGGCACTGGTCCTCTGATGTCAATTTGAGGATGTAGCTCTCCATATTGCTTTAAACCACACTTTTATCCCATGTGGCGTTGAGCCCTTGACTGTGTCAGGCTTCTTCTCTGCTCTCTATTTACATGGGAGTTATTCACATCTTGGAAATAAAGAGGAGTACTGAACTGAGCAGAGTAGTTCCAATGTACATGAGCATATGAGCATCCAGTGTGTGTGTGTGTGTGTGTGTGTAAGGGAACGAGCAGGACTCACATCTACCACGGGCTGCAACAGCTCTGTTTGTTCTCCCCTGGCATCCAGTGCAACATCAACTGAGGCAAACGGACGACTGGCCATCTGCTGACGCTCTCTCATCAGTTGCTGGAATATCAAACACAGAGGAGTTATGAAAAATTGCTGTAATAGTAACAACTCTAACTAAATTAACTAATTTTATTTCAAATACAATTTCAATTATATTTTCCTGTGTTCTAGGTTGAACACAGTATCAACGCATAAAAAATCAGCATGAATTTAAAAATAAGTCTCCCACTAATGGGATTCACAAGAAAGTCTTGATCCAACAATAACCAGTGATAATACTGTGTGTAAATGCTGAGGTATATGTCTATACAACACCAAAACTCTAGTGGGACATTGGTTTTTGATATGCCAATGTACCTTTTTACAATAACATCAGTGAATTCATCCATATTCACTGATTTGATCACAGCAGTCTGCACTGTGTCTTTTCCAAAGTTCAACATCACAGAGAACGTTAAAGAAATTGGTCATGTTTCTGCTAAAAAGTGACAATTTCTGCAGTTTAGCCTGAACAGAAAATAGCTTTTCTTGTTCCCCAGTAATCAATAGTGTAAAACAACTAGTGCCACACTTTCATCACCGACGCAGCCTCTGATCAATACTTAAACAGGTCGCCATTTTGTCTGCAAGGACACTGCTGATTGATGGTAGATTTGTGATGAGCTTAAGTGTGTTGCATCAAAATCTAATTGTACTCCAGATTACTGAGCACATCTAGCGGTGAAAGTGATTGGCCTCATAACCTGCCCTTAATCTGTACTCTGGTGTTCAGTAAATATGACTCTATGTACAAAAACATACAGTTTCACACAAACGTAATACTAATAGACTTTTATATAGTGCATACATTGTGTTGTGTTGCTGCTGTGACACTTCATGTTTTATGGCTGTGAGGGAGTAAGTATCATTTAAATGTTCACAATGCTAATGTAGGAGTATAGCACTAGATGCCACAGTTAGCTTTATCATCAGTCTTAAGCATAGTATCATATAAGAAGCCATCAAGTACACAATTAAAACCTCTTTCATAGGAATCTTTTTTTTTTTTTTTTTTTTTTAAATGTGCCAGCTCCAAAAAGTTTGCCAAACATGATGGTTTCAACTTATGGAGCCAACATTAGCCTAGGTAGGTATCTAGCTGATTATATCTGCCAACAAAATGTCATCTCATCCAACAAAACTGCCTAATCATAAAACCCTTGAGCTCATCCTAAAAAATTAGAATCTATGATTATGATAGCGATGATTCAAGTATACTTGACTGATTAAATACTTTCAATTATCTCACAGTATCTCTTTAACTAATCTGTGTGCCTGTGTGGGTCAGTTCCATGAGAATTTTCTGGTGGTCTCACTCCCGAATAAGAATCTGTCCTTGGTATAGTAATGATCCTCGAGAGTCTTGTGCTCAGACCCCCACCCTCTCTCCCTCTGAATATAATTAAGTATTCATTATAGTCTGAATAGTAACTGGCAAAATTCAGATGAGGTCTGGAGGGATTGATAGCATTGTTCAGGAGCAAGAGAAAAACATTTCTGTAGAAGATGCTTTGAATCAACGTGCTGGGGTATCAAGGGCTTCATCTATGTGACAGGTTTACAAAAATAGTAGTCAAAGCACTGCATTCATTCTTTCACATCGTTATAGTTCTGTTGAGGGTGTACACAAGAAAACATAGTGGTGTTCAATTAATATGTCAAAAAGCTCAATTAGATATTTGGGAGCGAACAGTGACTCATTACTGAGACTTGCACAAGCTGTTCATCCAGCCTCAATCGTCTTTGGCTTTTTTGTAAAGATTAAATTGAAAAGACCTCACACAAACTCACAAGACAATAGATCAAAACATCCTGTTCTCAAATGTTACCGATGTTTAATAACATTTTCATAGAAATGCACTAACCTGTTTGAAACTGAAGTCGCACATGATAATGAACAAAATGCATTTAGCATAATTTTCTCCTTAATGTGCCAGAGTGATATTTATCTTAATAATTACAGGTGGGATTCGTTTTGGACTTCTAGGTCGTGAAAAATTCACTTTGCAGATTCAACGGTTATAATTAACTTTAACAATGCTATTTTAAATTTAGTGGTTTTTATACAGTATATCAGACAAAGAGGCACAGTGGGAACATATATCAGTATATGACCCTTCAGAAGGGGCTTTTTTGGCTCAGCTGGGCCATATGCATACAGTATACTATATATCTGCAAGTATAACATAACATAGTGGTTTCAGAAAGCATTTAGAACTCTCAATAGAGATGTAATAATACAAAAAACTCACGGTACAATATTGCCATGATAAGTCCATAAAACGATATTTGTCATATTAAAGAATGAAGAAAGAAAGAAATCTGCACTTTTTGTATGATTTTCCTTTCAACTTATACTTAAAATAAAAGTAGCCAGGCAGGTTAAACTTTCTCTGTTTGGTGGCTGCTAGGACAAGCCAGGTAAAGGTAAGATTTGTGCTTTACTGAAGGTGTTTTTCAAACATCGTGGCTTACTTTTTCAAAAGAAAAGACTTTATGGGTGTGGAGCCGGCTGGTTTTGCATTTGTGCTTCCGGTATTCTTGATTTTTGCTCATCTATGTTAAAAAGTCCGCTACATCAGTTTCAAATTCTGCCATGTGAATGTAGTTACACTAGTGGAAAGAAAACATATGTAATATCCTGGTGTCGTGAAATCACAAATATTGTTAGACCCCTAACCCTCAATGTTTTTGCACATTTTACTGCATTTTAGGTTTAATTTTAAATTGACAAAATTTACACCCATCAATCACCACTCAGTAACCCACAATGACTGAACTTTTTGCAAATTCATAAAAAAATAAAATAATAATAATAATAATAAATCTCTCATTTACAAAAGTATTCAAACCCTTAATGGAGTACTTTAAATATTCCATTTTGACATTTGGATTTGGGCAGTCTATTCCATTATCCCCCTTGCCACTCTAAAGGCCTAACTGATGGAGTACTGCTGAGGTGGTCATTCTTCTGGCATGTTCTCCATCTCTGCAGAGGAATTCTGAAGCTCTGTTAGAAATACCAGGTTGTCTGATCATGACCCTTCTTGCCAGTTACTCAGGGTAAGGGCCAGCCAAATCTAGAAAGAGCCCTGGTGGTTCCAAACATCTTCTGTTTCATATCGTTTCACTTTGTCATCAGAATCACAATCTGCTGTATTGGCCAGGTGTGACGGACACACGAGTAGTTTGACTCTCTCAAATACTATACAATGCCCTGCTTTAGGTATTTTTGAGTAGTTGCTCAGAGATGCTTATGGCTGAAACACAGGTTTCTTTCCCCCATTGTGGGATTAATTGTGTGAGTAATATTCGATTGTTCTTGATTTCCTGGTTGTTTAGTCTCTACTGCTGTTCCTGATTCTCTCCACTGCTGCTTTGCCCTGTTTTTAGGTGCCTTTGATTTGCTTATTTGTGCTGTGTAAAATTTAACGTTCTGATGACGCTATTTTTATAATCCTCGTGTATCGGCCCTAATGCTTTGCTGCCTTTATGTAACTTTTTATTATAAGACTAAGTGCTCTTTGTTACTACGTACTTACATACATACGCATGCGCCGCGCGGAGTGGCAGCAAGTTACAGCAGCTGTTATTTCTCGTGTTTCTATGAACTTCTGCTCTTATGTGTCTGTTCTTATGGTGTTATGCTGGTTGTTCTCTATTGCTGCTGTAACACAGAAATTTCCCCACTGTGGGATCAATAAAGTACCTACCTACCTAACCCCGTACATCGGCTCTCAATGTGCATGTACATATCCCCATGCAAGGGGCAAGTAAACCAACATAAGGCTAGTATGACAAAATAAGCAGCATTAACAGCAACAAACAGTGCAAATAATGCAAAATAAGCAGTATAAACATGCAGTAAGCCATGCAGACAGGTAAAGGAAGTTACTCAGTGTGGACCAATGGGCAAAATGGCAGTTTTATCCACCTAAAAAAAACTAAGTGTATAAACAGAGAATGAATCTACATAATTTCTGTAACCACAATATGTTAAATTCAGTGTTTACCCGTCACTTATGTATTGATTACATAAAAGCAACAAACAAAAAAGGTTAAAAAGAAGAAACATGGTCAGTGCATTTTGTAGGTTCTGTGTCTAATAACTAGTACATTATTTGTGTAAGTGCAAACCATTTTTAAGCCTTCACTGTTGTACAGACTCATTGAGAGGAAAGATCAGGTCAGTTCTATGTACGTGCTGCTTTGTTGAATCACTCTGAAAACATTCCCTAGGGGAGTAATACCTGATGGGGTGGGGATGTAGCCATATGAAATTGAGATTGATCACTGGATTGATTTTGTAGCTCAGATTTTTAAACTTCAAATCTGGCAGCTCATGTCAGATCTCTCTACTAATAAACATCAAATGAGCAACAACAAACCTATAGATTTGAGCTGCCGGGCCAGCACAGGTCAAAACGAGAAATTTTGCCCTTTTGGAAAAGATAAAACGCAGGACGGAGGGGCTGGCAGGGTTGTTGCAGAACAAGAAAACAGCTTGCGGCTTATTATGATTTCCAATGCAAACTGTTCAAGTCCAGCAACAATTCATTCTAAATGTCAGATAGCAGTAACTTTATTTATCATGTTGCAAAATTTATTTAAAGCAACAAAGCATAATAGGAAGGCAGGAGCCAAGTCAGGGAATGCTAGTGCTCTGCTCTGTGTCCGGCGCATTCATCTAAAATGTGCAGGGAATACAATCATTAAAGGAGCCATTGCCAAAGAGATTCTAGAAATGAATACTAAGTTGATAACAAAAGGAAAAAGAGTGAACTCTGTAAAACCAATTAATATGTGTGCAATGATAGACTGATTTTGTCATGAACACAAGCTGGAGCCATTCACAACTGTGATAAGGATGGGCACACAGTGCTTTGCTATGCAGCTTGATTCAACTGGTCAGTGCATGAATTATGTCTCGTGACTACAGCATTTTCTTCCCTTCACTGGATTCTATGAAACGGTAGGTGTTACCCCGCCCTCAGCAGAGTCTACACCTAAGGTCACTT